GTTCACTATCAAAACTCACCAGAAGCCACTGAGCCGTCAGCTTATTATAGGTAAGTAGACATTACTAACAAAGACAATGGAGAATAGAATTGCTATTTTAGGCTTATTAGCTGTAATCAGTCGGTCAGACATACCCAACCGGCGTCCATTCACCGATGTTAATGTTACCGATCGAAACCGATAAGACAGCGAGCCTGTAGTGCAGTGTATTAGAGCGTTGAACTTCTAATCAACAGGGTGGGAACTCGAGCCTCGGGTGATGCGCCGCCTGGATTGGGTATGACTGGCTTGTGACGGCTAATAAGCCAGAAATGGCCATTCCAGTCTCCCTTGTTTTTGTCGGTAATGTCCTTCTGCCTATCCTTTTTTGTTGGTTTAGCTGATATAATGAACTTTGTGGCCGCACATTTTACGCCTCCGCAATAAATTTACCGACAAGGCTAATCGATATAAATAGTTGTAAGGATAGAAGACTGTCACGAGGAGTCTGTTCACCGCTTCAAAGAACACCGAAATTAAATAGGATGCGTTAGAGAGCGAATTAAACCCTAATGGTAGTCGCACAATATTATAGAATATATTCGGCTTTTGAAGAACTGTCATGCCTCGCACAGGGAATAACCCACGAAGGCGAAGTCACTGGCAACCCTTCCTTGATCTTTAGACCCCTTCAGTGTCCTTTTATACAAATATAGGAGTCACTAATTGGTGTTGGTGAACAAGAAACGGTGTCCTCCGAAGGAATTCAATTTGCGCTCAGCCTAACGCAGTGATGCGGGTTCAGACCTCCAAAGCGAAGTTTGGCTCTGGATGATGGGGGCAAATAAGACGTCTCGGTGTCCTTGTCTATGGACGTACAACTTTCCGACTGTTACTCGTTAACTGCTATGCAATAGTCTGCCTAGGCTGCAAATACCGAACCCTAAGACAAAGCGGAAGTGTCAGCTGCCGTCCTGCAGTCAAGGCAGAATGCTATGCATTACTTTCCAATATGAAGAACGCATCTCTCTATGGAGTAAACCCTCTTCTTTGGTGTCCATTTGTATCACCAACTTTTCGTGGTGTAGTCTTCCACCACCCTTAATAACCAGAAGTTCACACGAGGCATTAGGTTGTGGTACTTGCAGCATTGGATCTGGCCACCCATCCACGTAATCTATTTTTCCCCTGACTTGCCGCTGTTGTATGCCACTCTAGCCAAGAAAGTGAGCTATCTGCCCAGTCTACTGCTTTTGTGGAGATGCCAGAAAAGCTATAGACTACTCTCCCTGCGTTTGCATCCTTCGGTTTTCGTGCTCCTGCGCCAGAGCCGAGGCGCAGGAAACACA